ATATTAGTTATCTTCAGTTTAAAATCATTTAAAAAAATGATGTGACAATAATGTACGTTTTGAGGGTGCGAAGGTGTAAAAGTGAAGGTTACAATGCTCTTTTTCTGTTATTGCGGGGCATGCAACATTCCAAACTGAATGTGAATTAAAGGTTCAGCCAACTACAAAAGATTATGTAAAGCGATTTAAGTAATACATACTTGTCAAGACCACGGGTGAGCAACTCTGCCCCCCTCCCCCCAGCTATGCTTTAACTCTAAATCCGAACATGCCTCTGGCTCTGGAAGTCATGCCTGTAACTGTCAGTCATGGGACTTGTAGTTCCACAACAGCTGGAGGGCTGGAGTTGCGCATCCCTGCGGTAGCCTAACCCTTTTATGAATGAATCTTACAATGTAATAAATCTGATCCATGTTGAAGAGAATGGGGCAGATTGACTATAAAAATAGAGACAGTACAGCTAGCAAAGACAAACGTCAGTGAATAAGGTGATGCTATGTTCTTTTTCTTGGGACAGTTTGACTTTATTATTTGCTTTGCTAAAACAACAGCCTGTTCCTGTAAACCCCTCATAGTGATCAGTTCTCTGCAGCCTCCAGGAACAAACCAGCATCTACAAGCCAGCAGCTTTTATGCAGCTCTTAGGCTAATCTCTGCAAAGAATGAAGGGTTTAAATCAAAGGGGTCACAAGGACTTTTTTTTACTGAGGACTGCTTGGAAATGGCAGGGCAGACTTAACAAGTAAAAGTGATTTGTGCAGTTCCTTGGTGGGTTCTAAAATAATGTTGTCTTACATGTGACAGAAGCAGCTTACTTTTTAATAGCTTTTACTAAGAGTGAACCCGCAGCATGTACTCTGCTATATTCAGGGACAGAGCCGGGCCTCTATTTAGTCTATGGCTTTATTGAAATCACTTGAATGACACCGCAGCAGAAAAAGACACAGTCAACATGGGAATAATGACCTGTCATTGGTGACCACATGGAATGAATATCTTTACTGTATTTCTGGCCATAGAAGAACTATACTCACAACTTAAAGTAGACCTTTGGCCTCCCATTAATATATGTGCACTTAATGTGACATTAAACTCGGAGTTAAAGGAGAACTATGAGGTGAGTGCTTTTCACTCACCTCATAGTTCTAAGCCGACCTGTGACAATGAGACTGTCACAGGTCGGCTCAGTAGATCGGAAGGTGAGGGAACACATACCGGGTTCCCTCACCTCTCGATCCTGACTGTTGTACGGTAGTCACCGCTCCAAGATCACTCCTGTGAAGGACTGCAATCTCAATGCAGATTAGTAAACTAAAGATGAGATTGTAGTCCATCATAGGAGCGACCTTGGAGCGGTGACTACTTTACAACACACACAGGGACCATGGAGAACAAAAGTAGCCCCCCTCCAGAAGGAAGGACAGTGTCAGCACCAATTCAGAGATGATTTGCGGATCTACAGCCGAGTGATATACAAATAAGATACATTTATGTTAATAGTTAGGGTACTTGAATGTGTTTCTAAGATTTAACTCCTGAGTTTAGTGTCACTTAAATTATAAGTACATCTGCACTCACAGTCTTCTCTTAACCCCCTTGCCAAGTCCCAAAAATACATGTTGAGCGTGCCAGTGAAGTCCACCTAATGCAGCTTCCTGTGATGGCATGGCAACGATGCTGCACTGCTCCTGAATTGAGAGTCAAGTTGCCACTCTGGTGTAGATTGTACCTGTTTCCATTGCAATGAAATGTTGCAGTGGGTGTGGCCATCAGCATTGACCTGTAGCTTGTCAATCAACACCTGGCCACACCCATTCCTGTCCACTGATTTTTGGATTGACAGCACTGGATCTATTGCTGACCCAGCAGGCCCCACCCACTACAGACTGCCTGCAGAAAAGAGGAGGGGGTGCAGACAAGACCAGTCAGCGTGCAAAAGGAGAGAGTTCAGCAAAGACTGGTCTTTATTACTGGAAACTTCTGTACAGAGACAAAGTGCAGGAGTTGTTTAATGCCGGATTATTGGCCAAATCTGGCAGAAATACACCAAGATTCAAGTAGGAATACACATGGCTTTTGTATTCAGACAATATTTGCTGGATTTTTTTATCCTTCAATAAGACTTTTTACATTACAAAGATCATTTTCACATGTGAATCTAAAGAGCATAATAAAAGACTAGAGTTTTCCTTCTACTGTAATAAAATCAGATTGCCTAATGTCATTATATCACATAATATTTGATGGGGGTCACATGTATCCGAGTCCTATAAGGCAACACATGTTCATATGCATTTAAAAAGTTACAACCTGCTAAGATGTGTTCCCTACGGAGGTGAGAACAATATGTGGCTCACATTTGACTGGCTGGAGACAAAGCTTGATCAAAGTCAGTGGTCTTTCTATGAAGTACCAGTGCAGAAGGCTAATAAAGAATGATTTTCCACAGCGACTGAATATGTAGAATGAAATACAGCTAAATGCCTCCTGTACAGTCAGTAATGACGGCCAATTCTGCTCTAGATGTTTTCTTCAAAAGTTTGGTTGGAAAAAACTTCAGCTTTAAAAAGGTAAATTTCACCTTTTGAAAAAATATATATAAAATTGCACACATAATAATAAAGGAAAAATTAGCATTTTTTTTTGCATAAGATCCAGTAAAGCATTGCAACTACAATCAGGGGATCACCGGTGCAATGCTGTGGCTCCTGCAGATTCTCCCTCCCATCCCTGTCTGTACCAAGGTATGGACTTTCAGTAAGAGGGACAGAAGGGAGTATGAACTGATGTCACCACACCTGTAGTCCATTCATATTCATTCAATTAAGAACTACTAGTCCCTCTGCTGCGGTGGCTAATGGTACTTGAGACTTGATCCCATGATACGGCTGTGTGGGCAGAGTCACGCACAGTTGCGCCATTGTTGCAGCAATGTAACATTTGACATTTAACCTCCTTTACTTACAAGACATTTCACATGCAGGTCAGCAGAAGACATCTTAAGAAATGTCGGACGGAAAAGCTACAGTTGCGTGATGGGAACTTTATTTTGATTTTTAAATGTACGCCTGCTCAGCTTTAGCATTCTGGGGAAGATGATTACCTTGCCAATTTAATACAAAACAATGTAGATGCCATCATTCACCTCATTCTTCAGAAGAATTGAAGAAGCCAATTCAGGTAAAAATCAATACACCCAACAGCGTGTGCTTGGTTTATACACTGTTCGCACAGTGAACAGCTCTGCCAACGAGATTTGCATCGCAATATGGCCACTAGATGGAGCAAAAGAGCACAAGCAATTCTTCTGCACTTCGGCGCCATTTCATGGCCATATTGTGCTGAGAATCTGGTTGGCAGAGCAGTTTGTACATCATCTCCTAAGTCACTACAACAATATGCCAGAAGTATTTCCATGTTGCTACGTACCCTGTCATAATTCTGTTCTAGGAATTCAGCCACCATCAACTTGTGTCTTGTAAGCAAATCCTGAAAAAGGGCAAAGCAACACAAACATGAACATTTGAGTACACAATAAGCAAAGACAATTTGCGTTAGTTTTTGGTAAAAAAAATATATTTTCCCCATTCACACAACAATGATCTGTTGTACAAACCCATTTCTAATGAACTACAGAAGTGTAGAATAGAAAGTGTGAAGTGGAGATAAAAAAAGAAAAACAGTTTGAAAACAAAACAGTATAGAAGGAACGCAAGTGCAGAATCATGCATAAAATGCGCAAGTTTGTAGTTGTGTATTGGCGAATATATATGCACGTATATGACACTCGTATAAGCGCATTTGGCATGTACGCAATTTCTCAATGCGCACAATTTTTTTTTCCTCGCCAGAAACATTACATTGTTCACGTATATACTGTACACATATGTTTACATGCGTAAAATACACACTATTTGTGTTCTATTTTTCTGTAAGCGTCTGTACGCAACACAAAACCATGACACCATCGGCAGCTGTGTGTATGGGGCATGTGTTATGTACAGATATGCACAGAAATAACCTTTGCACACATCTGTACGCAGCGTTTTTTTATGCCTGTGTGAATGAGGCCTTAACTTGCATAGAATTGAGTATCTCTTTTCATCTGATGTAAACCATTGCTGCCAAAGCTGTTTTTGCGCTTTTTGAACACGTTATAATCCACATTTTAGACCTAAAAATTACTTAAAACCCCCCAAACCTTATATATCTCCTGAAAGCAAAGACCCAATTTTGTTGTTATCTATAAAAGATGAGGTTGTTTCGAGTACATAGATATCCAACATACCAAGCTTAAAAATTGCGTGCACCTTTGAAATGGTGAAAAGAATACGGTACCCCAAATTATCTTTAGGTGACACTTTAAAAGGCGGTACAAGTCATCAATTTGGGGTAACCATGAATATTGGCCTAGAATTATTTCTCACACCATGGCACATGCGGCGATACCCAACATATGTGGCATAATCATTGTTTTTGCACATAGGCACGCCCACCACCTACGCTTTTTCTGGAATGTTTTACATTTAACATTGTAAACTTTTTTTTACTTAAAAGAGAACTATGGCCACACCTTTTTTGGTCTTAGTTCTCTTTAGGGTCACATATACTAATGTCCTCCTGTGACCCAAAGTTCAGCATATAGCGGGCTACTGCCTGCTTTATGCTAACAGTGCAGAGCCACACTGCAGCCGGGAAAGATCCGGACAATATTGTTGGGATTCACTCAGCTGCCTGATACAGCCAGCTGTGCCCACCCCCTCCCCTGTCTGTTCTTCCATCTAGCGCTGGAGGAATAGAGAGAGGGGGAATCCCTGCAGCGAGCAGTGGTCTATTATACCATATTATGTCATCTTTGCAGAGCACAGAAGCTTATCAAGCGCAGATTGTGCTTGATCAGCTTCTTCTCCAGCTTCTCTAGCCATGGAATGACAGCTGAGAAACTGGAAGTGATGCAATTAGCGTCGCTTCTGGTTTCATTCAGTGGGGAGAAGATCAGCAAATGGGCATTCACTGGTTTCCTGATACCCACAGACAGGGCCGCCCTTAGGTCTTTAGGCGCCCTGTGCAAGAAAGCTTTACAGCGCCCCTCAGTGACCACACAAAAATAAAAAAAAGAATGCAGACACCACATCTAAGAACATTTTCAGCAAGTACACAGAATATATACATTGCCAGAAATGCAGCGTCCTTGTCACTTCCCCATCTGACCTGGAAGCATAAGGCAATGTTATCTTTAACTGGTAAACTTCTAATCTCCCCATGTAACGGAGATGAACACAGGCAGACATGTTTAAAGTCCAGCCTGAGGATCGGGAGCTGCCAGAAAGGGGAACACACACAGAGAGCAGTAGGGAGACATAGGAATCCAACACACCCAGAAGTGGCAGATGGTGAAAAGCTTAGCTGTGATCTGCAAACAAGTAAAAATCAATGGAGGCACTAACTGTAAGAATACATGTATTGCACAAAGCTATATTTGATTAAACTTTTGTTCAAGTCAGTATTTCTTTAACAGCTAAATGAAGGAAACACGAAAGTGAGAGCAGCCCCATCCTCATCTCGTGCTGGCTGCTCTTTCCATCATTCTGTGTGTGCTGGGTCAGGTTGTAATCGTATAGCATCGCTTGTGTGTGTGGATGCAGTTGAACTAAATGTACAGCTATTAGGAAACATACATGGAACGCATCAAAGCTTAGGAACATGGCTGTCAGCACTTCGGGCAGAGCACCGAGCATGGTTCTACACATTCCATGGAGTCATTAAGTTAATACATTAATGCAATTTTAATGACTTGTGGAAGAATGGCAACCTTTCATTGCATTAAATATGTGAGCGAATCAACATACAGAGCTCAATGTACAATCAGATAACAAGGCTGTAAAACCAAGAGTCAATGTTACACAAATATTGTACACACAAACGATGATTCATCAGCACAACTATAGTATGTCATGATGAAATGAACTTCGGTTTCCTGAAGTCAGCACAAGGACATATTACTGCCTCTTCGATGGCACCCCAACTATCTCAAAGACCTCCTGTTTTACAGGGACAGTATAAAAGAAGCTATAGTGTGCATGGGCTGTCACCAGAAATCATTTCAAATACTAGGGATGAACCAGATACCAAGTATTTGGGCTTGTACTCGCCCAAATGCTCCCGATAACAGAACTTCGGGGAATCAGGAAGCCAAGCGGCGAATCATTGGATGCTGCACAGCTTCTTGATTGGGCGGGAAGCCGCCTCCATGCTCTCTCATCACTTAATGACAGAGCATGGTGCCAGCTCCCGCCCAATCAGGAAGCCAGGCGGCATGTAATGATTTGCCGCTCGGCTTCCAGATTGGTTGGGAAGCTGGCCAATCAGGAAGCCAGGTGGCGAGTCATTAACTGCCACCCAGCTTCCTGATTGGCCAGAAAGCTGGCTCCTTGCTTCCTTGTCAGTTGGTGACAAGTATGGAGATGGCTTCCCGGTTAATTGGGAAGCTGGACAGCAAGTCATTACATGCCGCCCGGCTAATCAGGAAGCCTGAGTCATTACATGCCGCCCGGCTTCCTTAAAAGGGACTTCCGTTATCGGTATTTGGTATCGGTGAGTCCCGGAAAAAAAAATAAACGGTACTCGCACTCGATACCGAAAAAACGGGTATCAAATACAAATCCTAATAAATATATTTCACAGTAGAACTGGGCACATAGAATAAAAATGTAACTGTTTTGGGATGGCTACACATCAATTTAATATAACAATCCTCATGTACACACAAAGTCTCCTATTGCTCCATTTTGGTCTGGTAAATACCTTTAAAAGAATGTTGATATATCTGTTTGATAAGTGCAAAAAATACCTCTTGATCCTGCCAGAAATCCCTTTTCATCTGATGTGCTCTCTGCCTGCCTTAACTTTTACTACTGTTACCAGCTATCTCGGGGTACTATAGAACACCTCCCTAAATGTTTGTTCTTGAGTTTGATTTAAATCTAAGCCACGGAGTACAACCTGTCTATATTTATAATAGAAAAAACTGTTTGCACATGTTCTGGATCCAATACAAATCTTCTTTATTTATTTAAGGCATAAACCAGACCAAGCAGGCCCGCTACTGCGTTTCAGTCAGAAGAGGCCTTAATCATAGCCATTATTAATCATGAACTATGATTAAGGCCTCTTTTGGCTGAAACGCATTAGCGGGACTGCTTTGTCTGGTTATTTGCCTTGAATAAATAAGGAAAAGTTTAACTGGATCCAGAACCGTGTGCAAACACTCTTTTCTGTTTATGATGGCTAGTGGAAGCCTTGGTTGTGCATGGGACTGCACTGCAGGAAGGAGGCAGAAGGTAGAGCACTTTCTGTCTGCCTTGTGATCTTATCTGTCTGTATTTACAACTGCATAAAAAGCAGCTTAAAAGGAAACTTCTAGTCATTTAAATTAATAATAATTTCAATGACTTCTTTAGATTTAGACAGGCTACATAAAAATATTCTTATCACTGTGTGTGTTTTAACCCCTTCATGACTGAGGCCTTTTTTTCATTTTTTTGTACCATTGTTATATTCCACATTTATATGTGTATATTTTGTATTGAAGATAAATCGATAATGAGAATATTTGTCAACGATTTTCATTATCTATTAGTTTATTCTACATCTCTCCTCCCTGCTAGGAGCCAGCCCGCTGCATGCTGCAGTCTGTGTCCCCTCCAATCCTCGCTGCACTCCCTCACCTGTATCGGCAGAAACCACTCTAATATGTATTCCTATTACACTGCTGATGTTATAATAGGAGGGAATATGCTGGGACTTTACAACTTCTTTCACTTTACTGTAGTTAAGAAACTTGAGCCCCTACATTTCCCTGCTGCTATTGTGAATAGCATCTTTGAATATGTTGTGTCTGCTTTGCTTCGGATCTCACAGTGAAGGGTAATGGTGTATAAACACCAGCAGCAGACCAGTGTGTTCCTGAACGTGCTCATGTTGCATAGCAGGCCTTTGGATTATAGCAGTCCAGTATCTGATGTTGATTGTGTAACTGCTTTGCCAAATAGCATATTTAAATATAAAATACAGGTAAGTAGATATTCTTCTGGCTCGTCAATTACTGTATTTTGATTTTTGCTTGAAGGTCTGCTTAAATTGAAGTTCAGCCTAGCATGTAGCTGGAAGAATGCCGTTCACACGGCACTGGCACTCCTTAAATGGTAATGAGGAGTATTTCCTAACTCATCAACGCCATCTAGAGGTGCTAGTAGTGCGAACTGCATCCGCCTGTCTATATGCTGGCCGGAACTTTTATAACTGAACCCCTTAGCGTCTAATTTTCATTTTCCTATCACCATCAGCAAAGCATGTCTATTGGCTTCATGAACAAGCTTGCTGGATTTTAGACCAGAGTCACTGGCCTCTAAAAATAGCATTGTTTTTATATACTCGCCATAAAATCCTTTTCTCTGTGTTCATTGAAGGACACAGCAGAGATCTTGATACCTGTACTGATGGGTTGTACCGTCACCTGCAGGAGTAGGACGTTTCATTTCAATGGCACCTCAAACGTGCCTCCCACCCACAGTGTAATTGCCCACACTGGAACGCACGCTACCGCAATGCCAGTAAAGTGCAATTGCAAAAAATTGTGCATGCAGTTTTATTCTCAAGTAAACTTTATGTTTGTAACACTGCATTTGTGTATTTTATTTTAAATTAAGGATGGTATTTATTAATTTTTGTTATCTGATTAATGTGAAAAAATAATCGGTCAACCAATCGATTAAGAAAATAATAATTAATTGCAGCCCTAAAAAAATCCTATTTTCTCTTTCATTCATTGAAGGACACAGCTGAGATCTTGATCTCTGTACCTATAGGACATCTCAAAAGCAGTGTCCACTGAGGGGTGAGAACAATAAAAAAAACTGAACAATGAAAAAAAAAATACCCTACTAAAAGACAAAAAATAGGAACAAAAGATCCCCAGCAGGGAGATAGGTCCTTACTCCTTGACGCTAGGGAAAAAATTGAGCTGCCTTGGATGGGGGTGTGGCCACAAGCAGGAGCCGCCCCCAACGCAAAGTTTCTTTTTAGCGTCTAACTCCAGCAAGTGGTGGTATAACCCAACCCTTCAATGAACGAAAGAGAAACTACATTTATTTGTTCCTTTCTAGGATAGTTGCCGCAATCAAGTGACAAACGTAGCTGGCTGAAAGTAAGGAAGAGATGGATGCACTACGTACAAAATTCTTCGCATTGTAAGCAGTTGAACTACATAGATAAAAATCTGCACTCTGCTGGTCAGCAAAATCTTTGGTCTTTTATCAGATGAAAAAAAGAAAATCAAAGACTGTTTCCACCAATACCTTATGAGTGAATGTTTTAATAACGAAGGCCACACACTGTTCAACAGTACAATAACAATACCACAAGGGGAGGTAATAACAGCTTGTTCCACAACAGAAACCACATTACTACCATCTGTAAAATCTGTCCAGTAACACGTTAAAGAAAAAAATCTTCGAAGGTCTATGTTACTTTGGGAAGTAGGAATAACAATAAGAATCTATTTACACTATAGCAATCCAGCATGTCTGCTAGCTGGCGGGCGTTGCACGATAGAGCACAGTACCACGATGATGTGCGTTGCCGTGCAGTTAAGAAATTAGTGCTTGCACTGCTTTTTTTTTACAACACGGCAAAGCATTGCTTGTTGTTGCACAGCACTACAATGCACCCCTCCCACCCCCCCCAGGAGATGGGTTGGCATAGAGAATCAATAGCAACACAACAAAACCACAGTGCGCTATGCAATAGCGTGCACTCAATGCATGGAATCTGTGCTGTAGCGTGAAGTTCCACAAATCAATGCCAGCCTTCAGATATGCAGAATCAAAATCATTTCCTGGCTATTGCAGTTTTATCTTATCAATAAAATATTTACCATACAAAATAAATACTTGTATTTCTCCTTATTAGTCCTAAGTGAAATCCATGTAAATCAAAGGGCAGATGCAGACAGCAAGCCTTCAGCAAAGCAAAACGAGGATTTACAGTGTTTTATAAACCCAACTATGAACTGCTCTTACTTTCTCCTCTTTGGTCTGTTATACATATCATTGAAACCCTATGGATATATCTGTTCAAAAAGTGCAAAAACAAACAAACAACCAACCGGTTAATCCTGCAAGAAATCTAATGAGTTCCTAATTTCCTGTTGATCAACCTCTGCTGCAATGACATTTCAAGCGATGTTAATCAGCCCTAACCAGTTCTCTGTGAACTAAAGAACACCTCCCCCTATGGGAGGTCCTAGGATGAGAACACTGCTCCCCATAGATACAATACTACGAGTGTCATCAGCCTAGTTCAGAAAGTGTGTTATTGGCAGGATCACCGTGTGAAAGTAAAAGGGAAAAAAACATGAAAAAAAGAAAACTAATGCAACTACCACATCTACGGACAAGGTAAGCTACAATATATGATATTTTTCTTCTTGGCTTTAGATACACGTTAACCTAACACTTAATCCTTTAACTCGCCCTGCAGAAAATATCAGGCATGTGCTAGGGGCAGCACTAAAACTACTAGGCCCCCGTTTCAAAAGTGGTGATAAAGTTGTCAGGATACAGGAAAAAAACTCCTTTTTAATTCTATTTGTAACTAACCATTGAGAGCCAAGACATTGGATGTTTGCATGGGACCAACTCCACTGATGCTGGTAATATGGCAGGAAGTTGACTATGGTGTTGCCAGTGTGAGGGAATGGGGGAGTGAAAAGCAATGTGGCATAAAACATGCATGAGTTAGAATTTCTGTTGGAGACCGTTAAGGTGGCACCATGGCAAGAGGGTTTTTGTGCATACATTGACCAATTCTGAAGGGAATCAAACCAAATTACTTGTACAGAGACCCTCAGGTGTATGCAACCATAACTGAAGGTTTCCTTTTCTTCTGTCCTTGTGCCTTTGTTATCTGTGCCAGAATAAAAAAAGGTGTATAAAGTCTTCTATGTCACACTGGTGATTAGAAATCTGTCCACCTTATGCTACAGCAAACAAACGTAGTGACGTTGCTGACCACACCATACAAAGCAGACATTTTCCAAACCCTCTCTAAATAATAAAAGCTGAATAAAATGTATTCTGTTATTAAATATTTGGAAGGTTAAGCTCATTTCATACAACTTGCAGGCCACATTTCTGGGACGCACACCAATGTGTTAATAATCTGCCTTCTCCTGGTTGTCTGTCAGAGTAAGTCTTGAGAAATCACGCCTTGTGATGACACAGATTGAAGAAAAATAAACTTGCCAGGAGTTCTATTTTAAACTACATAAACACAGAACAGAGCTTTAAATAATTTACCTTAAATGTAGCAAAGGCATCGGAAGCTATGTCGAATGTTGACATTTCCACATATTTAAAGAAGTCCTCAAACTGCTCAGAGTAAAGGACAGTTTTGGCAAGCGGCTCATGACGGACGCATTCTCGCAGCATTATCCCACAATGCAATGCCACTTGAGGAGACTCATACCTAGAAGGAAAGCACGTACAGCATTTAATGATATCATCCCAATACAGAGGATCATAAGGCTAAAGCTCTAGGCACATAGGTGTCTTTACTTATGTTTTCAATTAGTGATGCACCAATACCTGTTTTTCTCAATCGAGTACGAGTACCAATATATTTATTTTTCAGTACTCGCTGATACCGATACCAGCATCTATGGTCCTGGATTATCAGGAACCCGGGCAGTGGGCCATGACCCGCCGCCCGGCTTCCTGATTGCCAGGGAAGCCAGTGTTCTATCAAAAGAAAACCGCCATCGAACTCCCCTCGCAACGATGTGAGGCAGCCTGGCTTCCTGACCAATTAGTAAGCCGAGCAGTAAGTCACGACATACCACTCGGCTTCCTAATTGGTCAGGAAGGCAGGCTGCCTAGTAACAAGTGAAGCCGGCAGGTGGGTCATAACTCGCCACCTGGCTTCCTGATTGACTGGGAAACCGGCTCCATACTCCCTCGCGGCACTGCCGGTCAGAGGGTGAACTCCCTCTGATTGAAATTTCCGGTATCGGAGCATTTGGGCTAGTACGAGTACTCGCCCAAATACTCGATATTGGCACCGATACCGATACTAATATTGGTGCATCCCTATTTTCAATATTTTAAACATAAAAACAGCACACTACAGGTTTTCTTCTATTTGCTTTGTGTAAAGACAAACATTAGCATTATGTTTCCATCCTTTCACATTTTCTCTACTGTCATAAAACAGCTGCATGCTACAGATTGGATTAAACAGCATCAATAACATATTTAAAGGATAACTGTACGGAGACAGTGCGGATATCCTCTTGACTTCAGACACACAGATCAATCCAGCATACCGGGGAGCTTAAAAGTTTATGTTTTTATACAATGCTGAGATAAATCACTGCATGCAACGTGCGGGATTGGTCCCACCAGAAACCTAAGACAGGTCATGCATTTACAAATTTCACTAACTTTTCACAGATAAGTGTACGAAACAGAATACAAAATGTCATTTTTTGGAATAAGTTTTTATTACATTTTTTTGAGCATATGAAAAAAAATTAAAAATATATAGAGAGAGAGTTAAAATGAGAACTAAGCACTGTGAGGAATTAACATTATTTGCCCCAGTTACCAAAGGGGGTATTAGATGGCTAACGGGTCATGGCCCATACTGTAACATATCAGCAACATTCAACACAATTATTTTTTTAGCCTATATAGAAGGATGGAAAAGTAGGAAGAGAGAGGGAGAGATTTCATGGCTTGTCAGCGTGATTACATAAACAGTGCTATGGGAACCAAGTAACTAGACCAATAAGAGCGCAACAATTCCTAATTCAGTTACTCCAGTTTAACCCTTCAGTCAACAGGCACTACTTCCTAGTTCCCTCAAGTGGTTGAACCAATTATACAATTTTTTACATGATTATGACAGACTAAAGGTGGCCATACACCAGTAGATTTTCAAAAGAACTCTCATACGAAATATTTTTCGTTCGACTTTCTATTACTTGATGGGGTCAAATCAATCATCAATTTCAACCATAGTGACGGAGAAAGTCAAAGGAGCAGGATGAGAAATGTTTCTCCAACTAACAAAATTCTGACAGTGAATGTGGTTTTTGTTCGGAAAACTCCATTTATTCCAAAATGGAATGTTAAAATAAAACAAGTTTGTTCGACATTCGCCAAGTCTCTGATGGCATTTTCAGGTTGTAAAAAAAATATCTTTTGTTCGGAAATCACTCCGGTCCAGGCAGCTCTACAGGATACGTGAGCTGCAAGCAATGCACGTATGCATGGAGCTCCCTCGCGGTCATAGCCCCAGCCCACCCCACCTCAAGCTGACACTCGGCGCTGGGCAGCATATTTTTAATGGCTGCTTGATGTGAGAACTGACAGTGCTGCGCTTGGGGGAGGCTGAGGAGCCTCGAACTTAGAAAATGGCAGGCATGCGACCACCCACTGAACACAGGGTCGTGACCCACTTTTGGGTCACGACCTACCAATTGAGAATCAAGGTACTAGTGTATGGCCAGCTTTAAACTTTTTCCAAAATCCCCAAGTGTAATAACATTTATTAAATAGAGTAATTAAAAAGTGGCAAGGGGTATAACAAAGTGAGCAATAGGATACAGAGCAGGTCCCAGAGCAGACCCAGAGAAGACAGACTAGCCAACGCATTTTGGAGGAGCTTCCTCCTTCCTCAGAGTATGTTATAGACTCGCACAGAAATATACACTAGATGCAGTTCAAGTGGCAACAGGCCAGAGCCAATCAGCAGCAATCAAATATTCACCAATTACCTACTCTGTACTGCACCAATGAAAATACTGACTGCCCTATGTAAGAAAAACACTGCCCCAATAGAGATAGTAAGCTGATTTCTTACCACGTATCAAACTAAGTAATGCGCAACTTATGGATCCGCCGCCATGTCAGCTTTGCCGATGCTGTCCTGTATGCGTCCAGGCTAGAAATGACGACATTAAAGGCGGAGCCTTGACACAGCAATTACGGAAATTATCCGTCCTGGACCCGCCCATAGCACAGTGACAGGGGTTGGCTGGCTGTCAGGTTACTCCGCTCCTTGCACCTTCTCACACCTCATTCAACATTTTACATATATAAATATATATATAGTTTTAGTTTTGATGATTATAAAGTTTTCTATTTCCTTACAGCAGGAAGAAGCTATGGGAAAACACCAGAATATTTACTTGTTGCACATACTATATCATTAACAAGCCACAGGGACTCAGTTACAAGGACTACTGTAATGCAAACTGATTTCTGCCTCATTTTCTTTTGTACCAGAACCATAGTTAAAAATTCTAATTTAAATAGCTAGCAAATACTTTTACAAAATTGAACAACTCAAGCACAGGAAAATGAATGGTGCTCTCCTATCTATTAGCTACTCAAGTGTTTCATTTTCTAACCTGTGAAAATTATAGCTAAATCCAGACCTTTGCCACGATTGCCATGTCCTGTCACAATGGTTTTCAGGTTAGGGGCAGGATAAAAGATTCAAATAGACAAGAATAAATGATAAACTCGGCAGAGGTTTGAAGCACGTCACACTTCACTATGAATAGAGAATTTGTCTTGGGAGGGGTTGCTCTTTAACAAATATACTCATTTGATATATAGCAGTCCTGAGGCCACGTGTCTTACTAAATCTTACACTTTTCTTTTTTTTTTTTTCCTTTCTGCACATGGAAATAAATATATCTTTCTCTCCAAACATTTCATTTGCTCATCTTTGTGACACTGTTGCCTGGCAACCTATAATAATGGCTAGTGCCTGCACCACGTTACTGGCTATACATAGCTCCCCTGTGCTCCACAAGAGTTAGTCACAGCAGTGGTTTTTGTGTACAGCTTGCCAGCTTAAAATGTATATAAGCAAACCCCTGGATGGCATGATTGCAATCATTTTCAATCAGAGAATATCTGCATTAATCATTCGATGTGGACAACTTGATATATAAATCTGGAACCAGCCAGTCCAATCCCCAGAGCAGCAGACCTTTGGAGCCAGGGTGCATGTGCTCCCATTGCCGTTCAGGTAAACAACAGGAAAGCATAACTTCCAATGAGAAATACTTATTTATTTGCAAAATAACAATTGCAAGGAGGACATGCTACAGGATTCCTGCAGACCCTTGCTGCAGGAATCCACCGCTGGATCTAATTAGAACTAACTTAGAACATTTTTTTTTTACTGGCAATGGGGTAGGAAGAGAATAAATAGGAGGGAGATGGGAGGGGGATTAATGATGCCCATGGATGGGCTTTACATGGGGTCTAATATGTAAGGTAACTACGCACAACCAATCTTTTATTTTAAATGTAAAGGAAAATATGAAAAATGGAACCTCAGCACTTCCTAATTCCAAGGTGCCTAAGCCTTTCAGATGCATCTTTGGATATGGATGTCATCTGTTTTCCTCTCCCAACTTTGGTCAGCCATCCTCAACTTCACAGGAAACAATATTTTATACAACTCTTCTTCCCTAGTTTTATGAATGTTGTCAGCAGAAAGGTATTTGATCAAGTACTGAATGTATTATAATGTAGCATTGCTTTGCACTTGTTCCTTCTGCTCTTTGTGTTTAAATGCTGCACAAAATACAGTAGTTGTTTTTATTTTCATAATTATATATCTCCAAACTGTCCCTCATTTAGAACCAAGCTCCGCCCCTCTGTCCTCCTCAGTTGTTTCTCTTTTTTGGTCGCATATCTATGAAAATGTACTGATTACCTAGTGTTATTCTGCACTAATACCTTTATCTCTCTATTACCTTGTTTGCTTTTGCAAAAAGCCAATATAAAAAAAGTAATGGTGAAAAAAAATCTGGGCTTTTACAATAATTTTTGGCATATAAATTCCTAATTGTCCGCATAACTGGGGATGTGGTAGGGGTGTGTCCATTGTCTAATAACATTGTGCTGGAAGGTGCCCCTGGAATGTATGTAATTACCATATTTTTCGCTCCATAAGACGCACCTTTTCCCCCCCAAAAGGCGGGGGGAAATGTGTGTGCGTTTTATGGAGCGAATCCCTAGTTTTTTGTACATTTAGACCTGCTAAAGCAGAGCTAAATGTACAGAGGAAGCCGCTGCTTGTTTAATACAAGTGATCTATTCAGATCACTTGTATGAAAACCGAGCGGCGACAGCGCCTGCGCCGTGGTTTGCGGGTCCCCCGCTCCTCTGGGGGACCCGTGACCATGGGATAGGAGCTCACCATAGAGCCCCTAGAGCAGACGAAGAACGTCCATTCTTCGTCTGCTCCGTCTCAGAAGTCACTTACTGCAGCTTCTGTCACAGAAACTGTGACAGAAACTGCTGCGTCCTATGTTTCGGTGCGCCTTATGGAGCGCAAAATACGGTAATGCTCCATGAAAAGTTGGCAGCGGTATCTTTACAGAGATACACCATTATATATTATATGATAACAGCCAACCTCCAAAAAATACCTTTCTGTTT